ACACCATTGTTAGCGGGACCTCCCCCTGGACTCTCATGGTGAAGGGCTGCAGCCCACTCCACCAAACCTCCTAGGCATGGGGCTGGTAGGGCAGCACTCTCCTGCTCTCCCCCTGGGCAGCCTGTTTTGCTGCAATTATACACCACACGTGTTCATCAAGGGGAACAGCCAGACATGGTGGATTTACTGCCCCTTGGGGAGCCAGTGTGGAGCCCTCACCAACGTCACAGAGCTCCCATGTGCACATTGCACGGAGAAAACAAACACCTCGAGGCCATGTGCAAACTCCCAGCACCGGAGGTGCTTTGAGACCCACAGTGCACATGGCTGTAACCTGTGGGGTGTTCTTGGGGCCAAGCAGGTGACTGAGCTACACCTGCACTGCTCCTCTCACCCACAGGAGTAACAGTGGAGAGGACATGGGAGCAAGGAAAGTATTTGGCTTCTGAGATGGCAATATATACATGGCAATATACAGATTCCTCGAGAAAACATTCTAAAGGTAGACTGAAAATACACCCAGAACACTCTGCAAGGTTAAACAGCTGAAGAACACTTGCTGCTTGGAGGTTTTTGCTTACTTTGCACAAAACAACAATAATGCAGAACCTTTGTAACCTTTCTGACCTTAAGAAATAGCTGCACATGTAGTGCTGTGTGCCCATCCCCTTCTATCCCCACACTCTTATGGTGACTACTTCAGCATTCTGAGGAACTATTCAGATTGTGGTGTCTATCCAAACTTGGAGCATCACTGACACACGTACAGCAAACTCTGAACTGTGTCCAAACACCATTTACAGAAAAGCAACACTGGTGCCTCCAGTTCTGCCCAGTTTCCCCAAGGCAGCTGCAGTTGCCTCTGAGGAGCTGCCAGTTCAGCTCCACTTACTGCTGCTCTTGGCATCCCTCGCTTTAAGCTAACAAGGAAGCAAATTCCTGGACTGGATACTCTTAACATGAGACCACAGCAATACCAATGACACTGTGGGAGATCTGGACAGAGGTAGGACTTTCCTGTGTGTTACTTGAGAGCTTTCAAGAAAGTTTCAAGACCTCCCCAACAACGGCTGGCCCTGCAGAGGTGTGCTAAAGGAGCACTCCTGCCTCAGCAGGCAGTACTAAAATACTCAAACCTAGATTTTAATAACATCCAGGAACACAACAGCATTAATTGGATATTTTTTCCACAAACAAGAAATAGGTATCTAAATCAACCGAAAGGAAATCATTACTGTGACGCAACAGGAGTGGTGGACTACGTGAGTCCTCCCTGCGGAGCTTACAGTCACCTCACTGAGGTGAGTCCATGTGGGGCTGCGAGTCCCTGAGTGAAAAAACAACAGAAATGGAAAGCACAGGACTTACCCAGCCATGGCCACGTCTGTGTTGCAGCAGTGCTGGAGCCTTGTGCCCACCTCAGACCTTCCGATGGCTCCTACAGAGTTGCCGAGCAGCACCACAGCCAGGCTGAGAGCAAAATGAACCCTGCAACCACCCACACTCAGGTGCAGGGACTTTGCTGGACCCACAGGAAATGAGCCAGGACTCTGATTGAAAATGGCCTGCACCTGTCTGCTACAAACCCCTCTCTTTGCAAAGCCTGTGGAGACCATCCAGAGTCACGGAGGGGTCAGTTTTTAGCCTTCACAACACCTCCATCATGGCAGGTGCCTGCTCCACACCCTGGCTCCCCTGCTCTGGTGATAACTGTTATTCAGCTTATTCAGTTAAACTGTTATTCAGTTTATTTTCATCGAGCAGGATTTGAGCATCCCCTCTCCAGACCCTCAGCCTCTCAGTGCCAGGTTCCTGGCCTGCGCTCCCCGGCCATGGCGTGAGGGGAGCCGGCAGCCATTTTCCCGGGCCAGGCGTCCCTGAGGTTTCCAAGGCCACGGTGTTGGCTGTTCGTAGGGATGGACAGTCCCTTCCAGGGAAACACGTCCAGCTCAGCATGCAGGGTGTGTTTCTGGTTCTACCAGAGGCAGGATTTAACGTTGTAACAGCTTTGGAGAAAATATGGAATAAATATCCAAAGTAGAGCACTTGTTGCTCGGAGCCCCACAGTGCCCGGAGAACAGCTCACCCGAGCAGAACCACAAACTCATCAGAAATGGTTTCTTACGTTAAAGCTCCCTTCAGGAGGGATGTGCATTTTTCACAGGGGTTCCCCCTGCTCTGCTGAGCCTCTGCCCCACCAGGAGCCCTCAGGAACATGTTTGTTCTCTCGCTCGGAGCCTGACTGCAGCCTCGTTCTGAGGGAAGTCAGCGGTGTCAGGGGGGCTGAGTCCCCTTCTGAGGAAACCAAGTGCGGCTTAGGGGGGTGAAGTCCCCTCCTCTATCCTCCCAGACCACAGAGCAGCTCAGGCAGGACGGGCTCTGCTCACACCCACAGCAGCCATGTGTTTCTTGCTCTGAGGGATGACCAGTCAAGGCAATGAGTTCACTCTAAAAGCAGCCACGCTCCTCCCGGGTGCAGGAAAGCCCCTGCAGAAAGGGTCTCTCGTGCCCTGATTGCCTCCAGCACAGCTCAGGGAGGATATGTGTGTGTCCCCCCGGGCTGTGCCCGCAGTCACTGCCCCCTGTTTCAGCCCTTGTGGAGCATCTGGAGTCCTTCACCTTCACCAACTCCCTCATTTCCCCTTCACCCCAAGCCACCCCACAGCAGCTGAGAACGGAAGTGAAAGTTTTGTCTGGGCAGAGAGAGGCTTCTCCTGAACAGAAAAAATAACACATAGACACAAAATGTCCCTGTGCTTTGGTAGCAACAGTGTCAGTGGGTTTTTACCACTTCTCATTTGATCATGACTCTTGCTCTATTTGGTGTTTTCACTCCATCTCGTTTCCTGAAATCCTGTTAGAACTTTATTTTGAAGCAAAATCCACGTCTAGTTTTGTGGCTGTGATACAAAGTTTGGAAGTGTGGTCCATAGCTCTGAAAAACTCAGGAAAAAACCTGTAATGCCCCCATGTACACACGCCCCCATGTACACACGTCTGCACCTTTTCCTTCTGCTGTGTGTAAAGCTGAGGGCATGCACAGAAATATGGGTACTTAGTCTGTATTTATCAAAGCCAAAAGGGGACACGGGGTTTTAAATAATCAACCATTGTACATATTATAACCACATATATATATATATATAAATACAGAGCATTCGTATACATCTGCATTCTCATACTGCTTTAATCACTTCTGTTAGGCTTTTAATCCCTCAGTGTACAAGAGGCTTCTGGAATCTAATGTACAGATTCAGGAGAATCTATCAATCTTGCATGGCAGGGCTGTAATTAAGAATGGTTAAGTGAGAGGTGTGTGAGCAGCAGGTTGGGTAGACCTCTCATTTGCAGATAAGCTCTCAGAGTAAGTTATTCTTCCCTGATTTATATTATAAAATGCACTTTAATCTGTTTCAAACAAAACCTATTCAGAGTTGTGTCATTTCTGAGACATACAGGCAAATGAGTGAGGATGGAAAAGTCCAAGGGTAACAGGAACTAAAAATACATGTTTAATTCTTTACTAGGGCATTTCAGCGTAATTCCAGTTTGGATTATTGCAGCTTCTGCTGCTGGAATATCTGGCTTATTACTCAACAGAACCTGGAGGCTGGGAGAAGAAGTTTAGGGGATACAGAGTGTTACATAGAAAAAATGAGAGTTAGGCTGTAGGTGTTTCCTAAGCACAAGAGCTCATGTAATCTAAATTTTCTGTGGGAATCTGTGTAGTAGTTGTGGTACCTTCCTGTTGCCAAAGATGAGAGTTTTTCCAGTGATCTCAGGGAAATTAATTAAAAAAGGGTAAGGAGTTGTTGGTCTGATAACACAAGACTGCAGAGTTGGTTGTAAAGGTATATTGGATAAGGCTTACAAAACAAGGAGAAACTGGAATCAGTTACTCTTACCAGTTCTTTTATGGTCTATTAACAGTTACTTCATTTTTCCATCTCTTGTGTGTTTGATAAGATGTAGATCTTGTTACAGCATGACTTTATAATCATTCATTCATTTCCCATGCACAGCAGAGGAATAACTGCCGCAGCAGTTTGCAGTGTGGTCCCTGCTCTGAGTGTTTCTTTGTCTCTGTAACTTCATCTCTGGCTTGGCAACATCTGCTGAGAGCAGGCAGTGAGAATCCTTAACGCTGCCAGAACACAGCCCAGAGAGCATCCGAAACTCTCCCCTGTCTGCTGGCTGGATTATTCCATGAAACCAGCAGACGCAGCCTGTGTGTGTGCCTAGGGGAGGGTCCCTGTACCTGAGATCCTCTGCAGATATGAGCAGTGTCTCGTGGGGAACTCTCATTTAGTATGCGGAATAAAATCACGGTGGCACCGATCATATGATCCGAAGACTCAATCCTGAGGCAGCACTACTGAAAAGGGGAGGTGAAACCAAGACATTCTGTTCAGACAGCGTGAGGCTGCGAGCAGCACACGAGCTGCATCCAGCAGGCAGAGCAGAGCAGAGCAGAGCTGCTGGACTGGGCTGGGCAACGTGTGGTCAGGAAACCACAGGAAAGCTTCATTTCTGGCCAGTCTGCATTTTGTCAGGGTGCACCACTGGTGTTACTGGAGCAAAGGAAATCCGCTGCTCCGCGTGATTAAAGGGCAAGGCAGTGAGAGCTACAGAAGATCACCGTGGAACTCCTTTGATAACCACCTTGAACACCCCCTCGGGAGGGAATTCTGCCCTTGGAGAGAACTGGTTCCAACTGACTGTCTGGAAAGTGGGATGGAAAGGATGCATGTTATGAGGAAGCCTTTCACTGGCAGCAGAGCAAACTAGAGGAGAACTTTCACCTGCATTGCTGGCATTTGGGAAAAATAATACAAGAAAGAATCCTGCTGCCAGCATTCTTTTTTAGTTTCTTCCTCACTAGTCCTAGAGAGAGATTTTGTAGTTCCCTCCTGAGGAAAACACCAACCAGAACTCAGAATCCTGCAGACTTTCCAAAGACCAGGCATGGTACAAAATGTGATTTTGGTGTTTTTCCGCAGGCGACTCAGCCAAAGACCCGCTGTTGAGGAGCTGGAAAGAAGGAATATCCTTAAACGTGAGTACTTTTTTTTTCCTAAACTATTTTATATGCATTTGTTGAAACCTGTGATTGCATTTCCAGAACCTATTATTTTTAAATAGACGAATTCATTCACTGGGATTATTTTCTGTACCTAAAAGTTTTAATTTTTCACAAATTTTAGGACAGACAAGAACTGTTCAGATTCAGGCTTTCAAAAATAATTTTCATTCTGATTACACTGTTATGGCTGTCCAAGAGGGGAATACAATTCCCTCAGTGCCATGAGAATGGGAGTGCCATTTCTCAAGACATGGCTTGTCAAGGCAAACCACACATGGAGGCTGCAGTGGAAGGGGGAACATCCTCACAGAGGGGTGGTTCTCCTAAAATACATTTGTTATGCCACTGGAGATCTTCCCAAAGACAAGTCAAAGATCATTCTGAGATGTCAGAGCTATCAGAGGGACAGTCCCAGGACTGTTACAGATGCTGCCACAGGGGAATGTTCTCAGCATCTCTCAAATTCTCAAAGCAAAACTTCCAACTCTTTTCCTAAAGGTTGGTGTTCTGAGCAGGGGATCAAACAAGTGATGAACATAAACCCTTTCCTTACTGGGAACCCTCTAAGCTAGGGGAAGGTGAGAGGGAGATTTGAAATTGTCTCAGACATCAGAGAGGGGGAATCTATCTGCTTAAAGGAAAAGTTTATTGCTTCTTTTATTTTCATGGTCTAACTAGTGTTGAAAGACAGAACCCAGAATAATTTGAACTATGATTTCTCACTAAACAAGCATAAATTTGTCATACAAGCAATGCTGCCTATGCAATTTAATTTATATTTAATCACAGGCTTGTAATTTGCTACTAAAAAAGTTACCTACATTGTGTTACCTAAAATTTAATGTCTCAGAACTTTCTTAGTGGTTTCCAAAAAAAACCCCTTGTGCTCTTGCCATGGGAGTTACCGGGATTTCATTTCAGTTTTAACACAAAGAAATTCCATAGTCAACATATATTTACCAGTGCTTTCTGTACTGTTCCAATGCACAGATCACACCCAGTAAAATTAACTGTATTTACCATTTGCATAGCTCCATGAGAAAAGGATATCCCCCTTGAAATGTGAGGGATGAACTTGGCCAAACTTCACCTGTCATCCACCACAAGAGGCAAGAAAAAGCAGTAACCCAAGATTCTGAAATAGATTGGGCCAGATTTTCAAGAGTCAATAACCAAGATCTCTGAAAATCTGTTTCTTTGGGTTTTTTCCTGGCTAAGGAAGAGCTGATCTCTACTGAAAAATCTGTTCTTTTATGTTTACTTTTTGGAGTGTGCTGGTTACATCCTTAATCTGGGTTAAACTGACCAGCTTCAATAATAAAAAAGTTTGAATACATTCATATAATGATCTTAGAGAGAGATAAAGCAGAAAGAAGATAAAGCAGAATTAAAGATAGTTCCTGAATTCCAGCTAAACATACTGGGCTGGATTTGTATCTCATTTAAAGAGCTTCCAGCATGGAGCAAATTTATTGACTTCTGTTGAGTTGCTCAGGCTTTATACAGGTTCAGAACCACTTCCATTTTATTTACCTCTGCCATTATATAAAAAGCTGAGTATCCTGTGAAGAGCTACAGTCACCACAGAGCTGTGCCAGGTATAAACTTCAACTGCTGGACAGGTGCAACAACTCTGCTCTCAGTTTTGGGTGAGCTCAGAAATTAGTAAAGGCTCCTCTTATTAATAGAAATTTTTGTTATGGACTTTAAAATAGCTTTTAAAATAGACTTCAATAGCCTTCTTGTTATGGATTTTATAAAACCCCTCCATGGATTGGGTGTGACATGCAAAGCTGTAGAGCACAGATGCCCTTCAGTGAAATCACCACAACCTCCTCCAGGTACAAAGGGTTCCATGGCTTTAAACTTTGAACTTCCCAACCCCTTGGATGTTCATAGTTTATACTGCTGACAGAAGCAATGCTACCCTCAAAGCTCTCTTAAGGACCTACAAGTCACATTAGTACAACTCTGGCAAAAAGAGAAGCATATTGCACAAGCCTAAGTGCACCTCCTGTTATTTTAAAGCGAATCTCAGCAAGATTTCAAAAAGTGATTTCTTATCTCCCTTAGGGAGATGTTTCTGAGATTAACACATAACAAGCAAACTGAAAGCCAACACTTTCTTATAATTTTGTTCATCTTCCAAGTCCTTTATCTATAGAAACACTGCTGGTTTCCCACCAAGCATGAAAAGCTTGAACTAAAATCACAACCCAGGTGTCAGATGTGTCCTCTGTCCTCAACAAAGAGCTGAATTTCACATTCAAGGAGGCATCTCTTGAACCACTGTGTACAATTCTTATTTCATTCTTAGCTGAAGCAATTGTTTTAGTGTCGTGCAGAGCTGAGGGTTCCCTGAAGAACTGGCAGAGCAGCAGAATGAATTATAGCACTGCCCAGGCCCCCTCAGGATTGGGAGCATCTCTGCTGAGACTTATAAACCCAGCCCTCAGTAATGAATGGATCTGTGTGGGCAGAGTGATGGGGGTGGGAAAAGCCTCTCTGGATTGTCTCAGTAATAATGCCTGAGTTCTAAAATGCCCTTGCCAGCATTTCCTATCAAATCTTCCTTTTTTTTTTTTTTTTTTTTTTTTTTTTTTTTGTAAAAGGACTATTTCTTTTATTTCTCAGAGCTGGGAATAAGCACTGACCCCGAGTGAATGTCAAATAGAAATGGGTCACTGCATGTTGAGTATACTTGGAAAAGCATTTTTTTAACAGAAATGTGTATTTTTGGCTTTCCTTTAGGAATTAGAATCATTGAATCATGGAATGGATTGGTTGGAAGGGACCTTAAAGTTCATCTTGTTCCATGCCCTGCCATGGGCAGGGACACCTTCCACTAGCCCAGGTTGCTCCAAGCCCTGTCCAACCTGGCCTGGGACACTTCCAGGGATCCAGGGGCAGCCACAGCTCCTCTGGGCAATTCTCTCACTGCATATCACACTATGTCTTAGAAAGGCACCATGGCATGGAAAATTCTCTTTTTTTAATAAAAAATACATATAGAAATATCTACTCTAAAAGGGGTGAATTAAAGCTGAATGAATAACCTCTTGCAGGTATCTCTACATCTAAGAATACCCTCTGCTTTTTAAAGCCTGTTCTCTTTTTAAACATTCCCCACTGAAATAGCTGCTCATCCCTGACACAGCACTAATTTTAGCTGACCTGTTCTCTTTACATTTCTTGCCTTGCCACTGAACTGTAATAAAGCACATTACAGCATTTTAAATTCTCTGATTTACATTCCTACTACAGCCAGTTGTAGCTCTGCACTACTATGTTACTTTAAATAGACACTTATGATTGCATTTCAGCGTAGTCTAATGAGCAGAAAAATCAGGGAGAACACTTCATTATTAAAAATAGCTTTTTGGAACCTCATTTGCACTGTTGGTGGTTTTTTGAGGCACGTTAGAAATCACATGTGTGTTTAACACTGGAAATATCTCATGCAAGTGGTGTAACAGGCTTCACAGGAGCATCCCGAGAATCCCACAATGGTTAAACCTTTCTCTGCAGCTTTGTTCAGGTCATGGGCTCACTCCTGATTTAGTAACAGATAGTACTGGAAATAGAAACGCCATTAACTTGTTTCCTAAGGCAGGGGATGGATTTCAGCAGTGTTACAGCACTCCAGGCTATTTTTAGAGCCAGTGTGGAGGAGTTCTCACGGCTTGAATGTTAATAGGCACAACACACAAAGCCAGGCTGGCTGGGGTAGGACAGAGCACTGCAAAGGAACCCCGGGAGGATAAAGAGCTTCTCATGGCAGGAGGAGCAGGGAAAGCAAAACGTGCAGGTCACAGCCCAGCACTGCAGCACTGCCACCATGTAGCCTGAGAAAAGCAGGAGAGAGGACAGAACATACTTTCCCTGGAGTTGCTGCAATGAGGCTCCTCAGCATCCAAGAGCAGTGAATGGCTCCAGCAATATGGAGAGTAAAACATGATCATTAACCAGCTATGGGATATTTTGATTTTCCTTCTCAAGTTTATACAAGTGGAGAGTTGGTGTGGCTGCTGTTTTATTAAATCTGCTTGGAGCTGGAGTTCAGAGCACAGGGAACCTGCCATTGGAAGCAATGCCTTGTCCTCCCACAGAGGTAGCTCCATGTTCTGATACATGACACAGAGATGAACTGACTGAACACAGCCAAGAACCAGCTCCTCGTTTTTCTGTGCTCATTATTGCCTGGAACTTGGGAAAACACCAAATTCCCTCATGAGGAAAGTCATCTTCTTTTTTATATTCTCTGCAGAACGAAATGATCAGACGGAGCAGGAAGAAAGAAGGGAAATCAAACAGAGACTGACAAGAAAGGTAAAAACTTGCAATACCTGCTATTTGCTTTTAGAAATTACCTAACAGAAATTCTAGAAATTAGCAAAGCCACTGTAACATCAACCAGTCATTATTACACAGAACCTCCCTTAATATGCAACCTCCTCAGCAGTGTCTCACAGTGTTTAGTAATAGGGATTATAAAAATCCCTACCTTTTCTCAGCTCCATGAGACTTAGTAGAATACTTACATATAAACTGCAAGTCAGAAAATGGGTATATATTGCTAGAAAAGGACATTTTCATTCACTGGAGCAGTAGCTGGCAGAGCTGAGTCCCTGCTGAGCCCCAGGTGTGCTCCAGTGGAACATTCCTCTTTGTGTTTGAAGTATTCCCAGAACTAGTTGGTGTTGTTCTGTTCCTGGGAATCCCTATGGGAATTGCAAACCAAACACGCCGATAACTCGCTAAAGCCAAACTGAAATTCTTACAGTGGATCCAGCCATGAGAGTCTCACCCAGACAATCTGCCTCTGCCTGTAGAACACCCCAACAGGATCCACTGTCATCCAGAGAACTTACCAAATCCACCAGGATTCCTTTACATTTTGCAAGTGTATTTGACTGGTAGCCAGGTTAAAATATTTTCTTTTGTCCATTCTAAAGGCACTGTGCTGCAGCCCATTTAAACCATTACTACTCTGCTAATGGTCCTCCAAATGATTAATATTCCCTGAAATTTCCAAGGATTGGGTGCTTTTCCCTCCACATAAATGCACACTAGGGTAAGAAGCAGAAAAATCGCATATTTTACTGATACCTTTGTTATTAACCCTGGTTTTATTTTTTAAAATGACTGAATACAGCTTAACCAGAGACCTACAGTCGATGAACTGAGAGACAGAAAAATCCTGATTCGATTCAGTGATTATGTGGAAGTGGCAAAGGCACAGGACTACGACAGGAGAGCAGACAAACCATGGACACGACTCTCAGCAGCAGACAAGGTACTGCCAGAGCTAAAATCACACACAGCTGCTTTCTCCTTGCTTTGTCTGGAATGATACATCACATTCTGCAATGACATTTAACCACTGGGACATTTAATCTCTGTACAGTTCACCATTATTTTCTATGCTGAGATCACACTGACCAAGGCATCCTGTCAGGAAAAATGCTATTTATAAAAATGCCTATTTAGTGCTGGAAGGGCTTCTACCCAGCCCACCCAAAAAGGTGGATACAATCATTGGGCTCCAACTCAAAACCATTTTCAGCCAATACAACATTAACATTTCTTCTCAGACTGGAAGTTTTGCCCCAGACACGCAAATATTCTCCACTGTGTTTCTAAACATGCAAGGATTTCCTCTCCTCTTCCCTATGAATGCTCAAGGAGTCACTTGACCCACATTCTCAGGAGCACAACCAAACACTCAGTTTGTGTCACATACCTGCCACTCACTGATTTCCATCCCAGTCGAAGTGTCACATTGAGGTCCTGGAGCAGTAAGAGCAGTTCAGCTCTAGATTCCAGCTGGGAGTGCTGCTGGATAAGCTGGGAGGTTTCAGGGCTGCAGGAAGCAGGAGGAGCAGGGACCTGAGATGTACTGGCAAAGTGGCAAACACAGGACTGGTACTTGTGGTTTTGGTCTGAGATGTGGAGCTCAAACCCTTCAGTCTCCATCCTCAGTAAAAAAACCAAATGGATTCAGAGGACTCATATGGAAAAGGAACAGAGCATTTCTCCTCCATCAGCTCTTCTCCTGAGCAAAATGGTGAATATTCTATAGTAATCAATAAATAATGATTTTGTATTTTCCTTGTAGGTACTCAGCTTTTATTAAAATTAGGTTTTTCCTAGTTTCAATTATTGCTAACAAGGCAGGTTCATAAGCAAAACCAAAATGACAGTTCAGCTGCACATGCTGGTGGCTCCCATCGGGGAGTCAGGGTCAGGAGCTGGGCTGGAAAAGGATCAATTGCTTGGCAACTCCTGTTAGTCTTTAATAAATTTTAACTGGAATCTTATTAAATGTGAGACAATAAGCCCTGGGGTGTTATTCTGTCAGAAGTGCTTCTAGACAGCAGTGGCCCTGTCAGCAATCAATAATGAATGAGAAGGGTTGTGTCACCAATCCATAGAACCTAAATATTCTGTGTCTCTGGCAGCACAGTGGGCTCTGCTATACCCAATACCTGCAATTTCTACTGTAGGAAACTGTTCTGCAAGTCTGGCATTTTGCAATGCTCACAAATATAAAATTACTTTTCATATATAATTCTTTGTTTTTCTATTTTCAATCCCCAGGCAGCAATTCGGAAAGAGCTGAATGAGTACAAAAGCAATGAAATGGAGGTACATGCATCCAGCAAACATTTGACAAGGTCAGTTTTCCACCTATTTACTTCCATTGCCTGCTAAAAACAGTCTCTTGAGTCTTGAATCTGTACACTTTATTCTTACATGATGTGGGAGAAGAATATGCAAAGGGAGCTTTGTTTTAAAAGAAAATGGAAATATTTATCTTCCTGTTCAGAATCTGGATTTTCTGATTTTGTTGGGGCTTTTAATAGCATGTACCCAGCAGACCTTCTCCAGAGCACCCCTCAGCCAGCATTCCTTGCACCAAAGATCCAAAAGATAGGACAAAAAATTAAATGTAGGGTAAAATGTACAAAGCAATATGAGTTTTTTGAAGCAGAAGAACAACTTAATACACTTTATAAAGGTCTTTGAATCAAATATACTTTAGTCTGCAACATTATCACAAACACTGCAGTTTGCCTGCTAGGAAATATAAAACTCTACCTGCAGTAACAAACACACCTAATGCCCCTGGGTAATGCACTTGTTCTAATTGGATTTGTTCTAATGGATTCAGCCTGGGGATTTCAGGATCCCCTGTCAGGCCACTTGCTCTTGGAAGGAGTGCAACCCCCCAGGGAACTTCTTGGCAGTCAGGTGAGGGCTGGAGCAGGTCAGGAGAGGGAACAAGTTTGGAGTATTGTCACTCTCTGTCACATTCCCAGGTTTTTATTCCTGGACTCACAATGAATTCCAGCTTAACTGAGCTCGGGCTGGTCAATGAACATGGTCCAGGCAAACACACTTCAGCTGTAAATGCAATGTCCAATGTGATATTTATATAATTCCAGACAGTTCCTGCAATTTAAGGCCCTTTTAACATGACAGGACTCAGACTCAGTGTTTAGGGCAAAAATCATCACTGCACTGATGGAATGAAACATGGGAGGGGCAAAGGGGATGGCTGCAGTGTCAGTCTCAGAGTGACACCTACATCCTCTAAGCTACCTGGGGAATTTAGGTAGATGATAATGATAGATTTGGAAATTTGTTCAGGATACTAGGAATAAACAGGCTTACAATTTACAGTTAGTGCTAAGGCATTTCAAATGACTGGAACTTTAATTGTGTATCTCAGCCTAAAGAACAAGCCTACAGAGCAAGAGGATATTTAGTCCAGACTCATAATCACATATTCCACCAACAGTAGCTCCTCAGATTTTATGAAACATCAACACTGTTAGCTCTTACAAAAGAACAAAATTACCACACAATAAAGAATATTGCCACCAATGACAACCTGTGGCTTCATTTGCCAAAAGAAAAGAACCTCAAATCAACCCCACACCTGTATTTGCATTTGCACTCCCAAATTGCTGTAACTGGTTAAACTGGGCCCTGAGGATCGTCCCTGCACTACAGTCCTGGCACATGGTGAAAATGAAGACTTAGAGGTGCTGATATTCTTCAACACTGTTACTGTACCTTTAAACAGAATGAACAGTTTTGTGGGCTTTTTAAATTTTTGTTAATCTAACAGAGAATTGAACTACCTTTTGTTTTCTGTTTCAAAGTGGTTTGATGAATGTCTCTCATCTCTCCCAGATTTCACAGGCCATAGAAATTTTCTTCTGAGAAGAATCTGTCTTTACTTTTTGATATTGCTGCTGAACACGCATCAGGGAATATCTGAGTCTTTCCCTCAAGTTCAGAGCAGGATCCCTTGGTGTTTGTGTGAAGGAAGGACTCTGAGCTGAGGTCTCTGCAGCACTTATGGACAGAGAGCCCAGGGCTGCCCCTGGCTCTGGAGGCAGGAGAGCCACGGCCTGGGATTGGGATGAGCTGCTGACAAAGACTGAAGCAAAGCTACTTGGAAGAGCCTCCTACTCTCACACTTGTTTGGAACTGTTTTGCAGCCTGTCTTGGAAGAGGAGATGTTGTGCATGTACAGGCTTTACCATTCCAAGGCCTCTGACATAAACGGACATGACACACTGTCATCCAGTATTATGTTGATGAGACATTTTGAACTTGCCACAATTAGTTTGTAAAACACTTCAGTTCATGTTCTAAAAACTAATTTAATGTATTATAATTTCATTCTTTTTTATATAATGTCTAACAGAATCACAGCTGCAAGCATTTTTGATTCCTGTTACTTTTGTTCTTTAATTAAATGACTACTTATTGCAGGAAATGAACATGTTTCCTAAAGCTCTTTTTTTCCCAGGGACAGTTGGGAAGGGAAGAGATTATAATTATTCTGCACCAGACCATTGCACTTCTTCATCAACATGAAGTCTGCAAAAAGAAGATCCCAACTAAGGTTTTTCCATCTCATGGAATAGCAGAACCTGATTGTCATCCTCCACTACTTGAGGCTCTGACCCTCTAAAGAATGACAATTAAGTTCACTGTTATTCTCATTCAAAATGAGTAAATTGGACAAGCACAGGTAGAAATGTAACAATGTACTTTGATATTTAGCAAACAAATGATTTTAATGCTTTCTTGACAGTAAGAAGAAAAAAGTTACTAAGTGCTAATAACAAAGCAGATAGAACTGGCTGAGAAAAATGTAAAGCCAGACATTCTAATAATGCCTGACATGGAGGAGCATCTGAGAATTTACTCAAATTACTACTAAAAAATAAAACACAGACAGCTGGAAAACACACCTGAGACAAGAACAAAATGGTGAATACACTCCCAAACATTTCTCTGCAAGACTCTTCAGTGCTATAACTTCAGGGAGTCTGTCAGTGTTAAACACTTGAGAAAGGCATTCTTGGTCTCGTAGCTTCACTGAGCTGATTCCATGGAGTGTGACAATAAAATCAGTGTTTCAAATGGATGGCACAGACTATGACTGAGTTGCTGCAGGTGGGGCACAGTCAGCACACAGAGCCAGGGCTGTGTGCTCAGGGTGGGGATGGACTCACACACAGCCCTGCTCCTGGAGAAGGGCAGGTCAGAGCACAGCAACACTTCACTGTGAGTCCCCAAGGCAACGAGGGGGAACTGAGGACTCCTGGCAAAGGTGCTGGCCAGGATGGGGGACACTGGCTGGCTTTGCTGGAGCTGGCTGGTGCTTTGTCCAACATCTTCATGTTTGACCTGTCTGACTGCCATTTGAAGACCTGACTGACCCAACTACTTGATCCAAAGATGTATTTTTTCCTCTTTAGTGCAATTTTTTAACTTGCTGGATTTTCACAGAAATATGCATCATTAACTAGCTTTTTAACTTACTACTATATTTATCCATCATTTTAATTTGATTATTAATACAATAGTATTAATTCTTAAGAACAACATAGTGAGAGTTCAGATGCAATATACAAGAAGGTTGAACAGAAAGGAGAGAAAAGTTTCTTCAGCAGAGGCATTTTTAATGTGAGAACAGCAGATGAGCCACTGTTAACTACAAACTAAACTTGGCTTATAGTCCATGAAAGTAACAATCCATACTTCCATTGCTAATAAATGCTGTATAAAACACATTAAAATGATGTTGGAAAATAAAATAAAGATTATAAGGGTAACTTAGAGCAGCTGTTTAAATGCCAAACAGTGCCTGTGAGCTTTGTCACTGATGCAACTCAACCATGTTGGAGCTGTGCAGGGACAGCTTCACTCCTTCCCCTGCTCTCTGCTGTCCTTCCAGCACATCCTTCCAGCACAACCAGCCCAGCCTTTGCTCTGCTCCTGTGGAGACACAATTCCAGAGTCACACTCGATCCCACTGATCTCCTGATGACACTCTGCTTGCTGCTGGCAAGGCTGTGGGGATGTTTGGACACTGCCTGCACTCCCTGGGCCATGGACTGGGCTTGGGAACCAGGATGGCACCGTGGAAGGCAGGTGGGGCTCAGGGAGGCTCTCCTTGTGCAGCTCCTTCCCAATGGAAAAGGCAAACAGGCCTGCAGTGCCCAATTCCTGTCCCTAACTAAAAATAAGGCATTTGTATTATTTTTCCAATGTACCCTCATTGTAAGAGATAATTTGGACCTTCCAGTGCACTTTTAAAAACCTTGTACAATTCAGAGAAAACTCCTGTTTCATGCAGATGAAATTCAATTAGACCAGTGGAAAGGAAAGTTTACCAGCTCAGGAGGTCCATCTAGTGGAGAACACACTGAGTACAGGCCAAAAAACCCCCAAACCACACAAAACTGAGGCTCAGATGAGCAAAGCATTAGTACACTTACATAGGTGGGATGAGTGGACCCAATTATTTACTGGCAATTTCAGTATAATGATTTCCAGACACAACACAGCCTTGTGTTTTTAAAATTCTTACACAAAATATTTGTGCAGCAGCTTTATCTGACTGATGTGCCAATGCATATTATTGATTTGAAGCAAAACAGCAATGACATCATCGTGGGGAAAAAAAACCAGACAATATATACTTTTCTGGACTTAATACAACTATTTGCAACATAGTTCAAACACAAGTGTTTAGAGTGTTGTTTTCTCTCAGAAACTCCTGCTGAAGTCTAATACCACAAACAAGAGTGAGATCAAACCAGGTGACTCGATCCCTAAATAATTTCTGACTCCATTTGGGATCAGACAAAGTGGGTCTTCTGTACATACAGACCCAAACCAAAGATTCACAGTGAAATTCCATGTGACTTCTCTGGCAGTCATTTAAATAACCTATGCAAATTGTTAAAGACATATTTAAAAGTAGCACGTGCTAAAATAAAATTACATATTACTTTTTAGCAGATTCAGTAAAATAATCCCAAATCTCACAGATAAGTGGAGAAGTTTTGTCTGCAAAGATTTTAATATTATTAAGGAAAATATGGTTTCATTACACCAGTTTCCTTGAGTGTAAAAAAATTTAAAAAAATGTCAAATTTTCCATTATAAAAGAGTGTTTATATTCACCTTGAAGTTCAGGAAGGAATCTGAAAAATATCCCTTCAGAATTCAGTCTTTGATCGAAACAGGGTCTGCAATCCTCTGCGAACATTGCACAGCTCCTCTTCTTGCTGTGCAAAAAACATCACACTTATCACAGGCTTTTGAAAAGAGGAAGGGTTTATGTAACATGTTGTACTCCTGGTGCACAGAACATGCTGCTTTCAACAGATCAAATAGGATACTTTTCCACAGATTAAGACTCAGAACCAAACCAGGACATTCACATCTACCTGTGGCTTTTATCACCCGGGTAAGGTCTAAAGTGCAACATGTCAGTGATACTTGGATTTAAAATCTTAGTAATTTAGTGTTCAAACAGCAAAAAATAAATAAAAATGAGTGCAAGATGACTTCATTTACCATTTCTTTTAGAAGTTTCTCTTGGATTCCTTTTATGTCTTCTTTCATCAGATGCATCTGCAAAAAAGATCCTGAATGCATCTCTTCTGCTCATAACTGGTGGCACATTTTCAAGCAAACAATTACATCCCTAAATGTTTTATAACCAAGAGACAGAGATGCACATGCATCCACCTGCCTATGGAAAGGGATGTGTGTTTTAAATTTGTTCTTTCTGGGATGAAGAACATAAATATTCATAAGCAAAATAAACAAAGCCATGGAATCCAGAATAAATCTTGGTTAACTGCACACGTCTTCTAATGGGTGAAATCCTGGCCTAAAACAGTGAATATTGTTAAATTAGGGCATTTTATGAGAACTAAAACCTAAAAAAGTATCATCAATACAATGCTAAGGATAAAGTCTTTCTTCAGAAAAAAAAGTCAGTACTGGTATCTGTTGGTGCAATTGAAGAATTATTAAAACAAGAGAGAAACAAAAGCTCCTCATACAAAACAGAAGTTCCTCCTACCTCTGAAGTAAAAATACGTTCTTCATAGTCAACAGAATGGTAGATATTCTTTTCAAATGAAGCTTTAAGAACCTGAATTCTAAAGAAACAAAACACAGTTCAAACAGTTTTGCTAGGTATAAACTTCCCACACAAACCACAAACAGGTCCCATTATTTGTAATCTATTTGTACTTTAAAGTGTGGATAAATATCATCATTGCTGGAACAGTCCCTCAGGTGTGTGGAGAAATTTAGATGGAGAATCATTACATTTTTCCTGTAATGTAATATTTTAATCTAATTGTCTCATCTCATCTACCATCTCTATTTAATGGAAGAAACTGCACAAGGAATATCAGTTGGCCTGACTTGTACCTCAAATGAACAGCCCACAAACCTCATCCCAGAACTGACAGAGCCCACTAACCTCTGCTGCTCATTTTTCATGTAAGTACTCAAAGTACTTGTCTGTTTTTTCCAAAAGGTCTGGAAAGATAGAATATTAACAGATGCTGATCAATAGGAACTGATTTTCCAAGCCCAAACTGACCAATATCTCATATGAACAAACTAACTCACAACCACAGACTCAGCAGTTACACAGGATTTACACAGTCCCCACAGAAGCTGGAAAACCAGCCCAATAAAGTATTAGCAACAGTTTATCCTAGGAGGAAAAACATAGAGGAATTCATATAGTGAATATATATAGGAAAAACATGTAGTGACCAAGGAATTCTCAGAGCATTGGCCAATCCCAACACCTCAAATTCACTGTTTGACATTTCCCTCAACTTGAAGCAAAATGATAAAGGCTTTTAAAATCAAAATTAATAATCTAAAGTTAAAGATGACATGAACAATCTATGGATCTCATAGGAATTCACTTTTCCCCACGATCCAGCTGTTTAAATACAAACCGAGAATTCTTTTTCCATGTTTTTCAGGGACTGAGAATCCTTTTCAAAATTCTCCAGTTCCTCAACGAGAGTAAAATGAAATTTGTCCAGCTGCCTGATCCTACCAAAACAAACCAGGTTCCTTTCAGAAGGTATTCCTTGCATTTGAAGGATGTTTTAAAGTCCATCTGTCATTCCTGACCTGCATTCATGGAGCTGGTAACTCATGGTTGTCAAATGCTGATGGGCAGCTTTCAATGTCTGCTTATTAAAATGATCCATTTTCCGGGAGCGGTTCTGTGAGGGTGTTTGAACATGAAATTCAGATTATTTTCACTTCAGGGAAAAAACTGTAATATGGTTAGTACTCTAACTGCTTAATATCACATTTTTTAAAATGGTCCCCCTGTCCTTTTGGGAAAAGATTTCTCTTAGTGACATGTAAATACATTTGAGGTATGCTTTTGATGAAATTCTACCTAATATAAGTAAAGGTGCATTATTTGGAA